TAAGACACATCTTGCTACACATGGTATTCAACAACATATTAGTTGTCCCTACACCCCTCAGCAAAATGGCTATGCTGAAAGGAAACACAGACATGTTGTCGAGACAGCTAGAACTTTATTGGTTGCATCAAACGTTCCTCATCAATTTTGGGTCAAAGCCTTTCTCACTGCAGCTTATTTAATCAATAGACTTCCACCTGTCTCCAAGCCTTCACCATGGGAACAACTCTTCAACAGGTCACCAGATTACATTCACCTTAAGGTTTTTGGGTGTACATGATACCCTTGGCTAAAACCTTATACTAACTCTAAACTTGAGGCTAAGAGCAAGGTGTGTGTGTTCATTGGTTATAGTCTAGTTCACAAAGGATATAGATGTCTAGATCCTTTAACCAACAGAGTCTACATTTCTCGCCATGTTTATTTTGATGAAAGCTCATTCCCCCTTTCATCAGTCTATTTCTATGTCACTGTCTACGTTCCCTTCCACAACCACCACTTCATCATCTTCATTCTCTCTTACTTTTCCAAGTTTATATCCTTCATCACCCCATCAGTCTCCTTCCTCTTACCCTTCAACTTCAATTATGTCCCCATTACCATCCCACTCTGTATCCTTACCTATACCACCCACAGAAGACACTCATGTTCCTTCCCTCTCCATTAATACTTCTTCTACAGTACCCTTACCATCACATCCACCACTTCCCATTACCTCTACTCATCCTATGCAAACTAGATCCAAATCTGGAATTTATAAATCAAAAGCATACACTGCAACCAAACATCCCTTGCCATCTACCCTGAATCTTGAGTATGTTCCTTCTACCTATTTGCAAACCTCTAAATTTCCCCATTGGAGGACAACAATGCAAGAAGAATTCAATGCCTTGCAAAGTGCTGGAACTTGGGCATTGGTTCCTTCTAACCCATCTCAAAATCTAGTTGGGTGTAAATAGGTCTTTCGCAGTAAAAGAAAGCCTGATGGCTCTGTGGACCGGTACAAGGCCAGATTAGTGGCCAAAAGGTATAATCAGCAGGAAGGAATTGATTACAGTGACACTTTTTGCCCAGTGGCAAAGCCTGTCACTATCAGAATTCTACTCACTTTGGCAGTTCAGTCTAATTGGTTTCTGCATCAATTGGATGTTAGCAATGCTTTCTTACATGGCAATTTGAAAGAAAATGTGTTCATGACTCAACCATCTGGATTCATTGATCAAGATCACCCCAATCATGTCTGCCATTTAAAGAAACTCTCTATGGATTGAAACAAGCTTCACGAGCTTGGTTTGAGAAGCTACAGTCTGCATTACTTTCTATGGGATTTCAAGCCTCCAAATCAGATCACAGTTTATTTGTCCTTCACAAACCAGTTCTAGTTCTTGTCCTTATCTATGTGGATGATATACTTGTGACTGGACTTTCTTCAACTGCTTGCAGTGATGTGATATCTCAGTTAAGTGTTCAATTTCCTGTCAAAGACTTGGGAGATCTTCATTACTTCCTCGGGCTAAAAGTACAAAGGTCTTATGCCGGCATTTTTATTCATCAGTCTAAATATGTATTAGACTTGCTTAAAAGGACAAAAATGGATGGAGTAAAGCCATGTGTTACTCCTATCGGTTCTGCTAAATTTGACCACACTGGTGCATTGCTTGCAGATCTTGCAGAATATCGACAAATTGTTGGGGCTCTTCAATATCTCACTTGGACAAGGCCTGATCTTTCCTTTGATGTTAACCTTGTTTGCCAATTCATGCATTCTCCAAGGGATCAACATCTTCAAGCTGTAAAACGGATACTGAGATATCTCAAAGGCTTTTTTGGACATGGTTTGTGGTTTCCCCAGGTTTCATCCTCTTTTACACTCAAAGCCTTTTCTGATGCTAACTGGGCCGGTTGCTCTTGGGATAGACGATTAACTGGTGGTTTCTGTATCATTCTTGGTTCTTCCCTTATTAGCTAGAGTGCAAAGAAGCAACATACTGTTGCCCGTTCCTCCAGAGAAGCTGAGTATAGATCTTTAGCTCATACAGCTGCTGAAATCACTTGGATATGAAAATTGTTTACTAATATTGGTTTTCAGTTGTCCAGTTTACCTCAGATTTGGTGTGATAACATCTCTACGATTGCTTTAGCCTTAAGTCCTGTCTTCTATGCTCGGACCAAACATGTCGAAATTGACTACCATTATATTAGGGAGCTTGTTCTTGCCAAGCTTCTCGAATTTCAGTTTGTATGTAGTCAAGATCAGCTAGCGGACATTCACACCAAATCTCTTCCTCGCCAACGATTTCTTGATCTCCGATCCAAGCTTTCACTTCAACCTTCTCCGTTTAGCTTGAGGGGGTGTGAAGAGAATAATAGAGAGTCAAAAGTTAGCTAGAGTTACTGTAGTAATAATTCCTTTACTTTTACTCTGTGGTAACTTTAGTTAGGAGTTGTTATATATATACTCTATAAAATTATTATGAAGAAAATGAGAAAAGATTTTTATTTTCCTCAATAGGATATGTTAAATCCTTACCTTTTTAGGATTACAACTCTAATGATATATTAACTACTAAAGGGAATATTCAAAGATATCTCTAGATACACTACACAATCACATTCATATTCTAAACATGATTGCAACACAGTATTTATTTTCCAACAATAAATGTATTTACAATAATGTTATTCTTACCACAATTTTAAACCACATTTCTTTATCATCTTAGGTGGCAGATGAGTTGGACAACCACATCATCTAAATTAATTAACATTTAATCAAAATGTTAATCAATAATTAATAAAAAGATTGTTAATTAAATGATGATTGTGGTATACAAGGTGTGACATCCCACATCGCCCAGGGGAGTGATCCTTATATGTATATTCTCATCCCTACCTAGCACGAGGCCTTTTGGGAGCTCACTGGCTTCAGGTTCCGTAGGAACTCTGAAGTTAAGCAAGAAGGGGGCTAGAGCAATCCCATGATGGGTGACCCACTGGGAAGTTGCTCGTGAGTTCCCAAAAACAAAACCATGAGGGAACGGTAAGCCTAAAGCGGATAATATCGTGCTACGGTGGTGGAGCGGGCCCGGGAAGTGATCCGCCCCGGATCGGGATGTGACACAAGGAGTCTCATTCTTCCACCTAACATTATTTAAGTGTTTTAATTAATAAAAAATTGAAATTAAATGATGTAGCTCGTTCAACTCAAATGCCACCTAAGGTGGTATGAAAATGTGGTACAAAAACATGGTATGAATAACATTACTCATGTATTTATATGTATGCTTCTTTTCTTCTCTTTTTTAGGAAATACTTGTTTTATTAGGTTTTAATGAAAATTAAGTCCAATTAAACATAAGTTCAAACTTGTTTTAGTGAAAATCAAAAGCTCATGTCTAGTTTACAAACGAGCCGAACACGAGCTTGAAAAAATTATCAGAGCCGAGCTTGAGCTTGCGGTTATGTCACGACCCGGTCGTAAATTCTTTTTGTAGTTAAGTTTAACTTTTGGTTAGTATCAAATCTCATATCAGCCGAAAGTGCACATGGTTTTTATTGGATAATCTGAGACTGGCGACAAAGAGTTAGGCAAGATAACTAACAAATGGTACGAGGGTTAGTTCGTATAATTAGTCACTCACGATCAAGTAGTATAAGCACGTAATGGAATGTGCAAGACCTGGGTGTTTAGTTATACAAATTAACGGATATAGATGAAGAATTTGCATTGCACTCAATGGTGGACCTATAGAGGGACCTAGGTGGTCCCAGGACCCCTCGGTGATCTGAAATCCTTGCTTAAAATGTCCCAAGGACCTCTCGAAGTTAAAAGCTGGTCCTCTGGCTCTGTGTTTAAGCTCTACAGTGGAGTCTTCGCAAAGAAGACGACCGTGAAGAAGAAAATAATTTTTTTTTAAATGATTTGGCCCAAAACACGTTGGTCCTATTGATAGGCTTCAAGAATTGGAAGAATGCAAGAGGATGTTTTGACAAACATGTTGGTCCTATTGTAGCATCCACAATACAGCTAGAGAAGCGGTAATTATCTAATGAATCAAAAGACATGTATTGAAGCAATTGTGATCAAACAATTGGAAGAAGAGTGTATGAACTATATCATCTTTGCTTGAATGCATCAATATATTGCACTAAGTTCTTGTTGCAACAAGGCTTTCTTTTTCGTGGCCATGATGAAAGAAATACTTCGAATGATAGGGAGAGCTATTTAGAGCTCTTGCAATTCCTTGTGGATCATGATGAGAAAATAGAGGCCTTTGTGTCGGAAAATGCTCCGGGAAATCTTAAGCTAATAGCTCCTTCCAAACGATCTTGTCAATTCATGTAGCTTCAAAACATTTTTAGACTATGAAACCTTGTCATGGACGACTTTATTAGGATTTTGTAGCTTGTAAGGTTATTTTGAGTATGATTTATGAATGAAAACATATTATCATTTAACTTTTCAATTATTTTTGTCTACAAATTTTTTATTTTTTATTATTATTGAGACTTCCAAGTTTAAAATCTTGGATCAGTAACCGATTGCACTCTGCATTGCTATCGATAATAATTTGATATTTGATTGTATGATGCCATGACACTTAATTAAATAATGTCAATTTAGTGTGACAAGGTTATGTCCCTATTAAATTGTTGAAGTTCATCTCTCCATTGTTTATGCAGGTTATTAGACAATCAAGAGAGTACAAAGGATGAGAACGAATTATATAGAAAGTAAAGTGTTATTTGGTTATTTACTTTAAATTTAGCTCATATTCTAAATTCGAGATTTTCTACCAGCCCTGTGTCCGGACAGTGACAGGTTATGAGCTTTTTCAGATTCGGCTCTCGTAGGCAGCGGAGATGTTGCTATGACCAAATGCCCTCACCTTACTGAGTACACATGTATTGCTGACACACAGAACAACATAGAAGCTCTCTTTTCACTTGTATAAATTTGGTGGGTAAGAAAGCATCAAATGAAAAACGAGAACGTCCGCTAAGAGAAAAAGACCCCCTTGCATTATGAACAAATCAAATACACCGCAAATAATGAAGCAATATGGTACACAACTTTCGAAAAGAGGAAAAAAGAAGAAAATCAAGCATATAGAACATTGTGCAAACAATATACCACCACCCTCAGAACACAATGCCTTTGTTACAATAATTGCATGCTGATTTACTCATACATGCACACATGACACACCTATAGAGGCAAAGAGAGAGACACGGAGATCGGGAGATTCACAAGTTTGGTGATTCACCGGCGGGTCCATGCCGAGCATTTAACAGGGGTTGGAGGGCTTTGACAACAATGCTCATGTTTGGGCGGAAATCGGCCTCATATTGCACGCACAGGGCGGCAACTGCAGCCATCTATAATCAAGACAGAAAAAAGCACTCAGTTATAGATGCTTGATCGCATAATCAGTATTAGTAATATTGTGGTATGCAGTCAACACACAAATGTATGGGGAGAAATGGAAAGGATGGATGTTCAGCAACACCACCCTCGTGCCAATAGAAACAAGAAATAACCGGAATTGCATATTTGTGCATGTATGCATGTGTGTATTATGTATGTACATGATCTAGTTATTACCTTTGCAACCGCCTTTGGTGGGTACTCTCCTCCTAGTCTTGAATCAATGCACTGCCTAACTTTGTCTTCACTAAGTTTTGGTGTAGCCTAACACAGTCCAAATACTTTAAAAATCAGTTCACTTGACCCCCCCAAAGAAATAATAATAACAAGAATGAGAACATATTCTTATCTCTACAATTCAAAATAATAACAAGAACGAGAACATATTCTTATCTATACAATTCAAAAAACAAATGGCACGTGCTGTGCATAAAGAGCACAGATACAGTACCCATGTTACTAGACTCTGCTGCCCCCGTGGTAGTGTATGATCAACAGGTTTTCGTCCAGTCAAAAGCTCAAGCAGGACAACACCAAAACTGTAAACATCACTCTTGGCATTCAACTGTCCAGTCATTGCATATCTACAAACCACAAATAAAATTACTGAATATTGGGGATCATGACATGCACCCTGATACCAAACTTTCAGGACGCAGTATTTAGTAAATTAGGTGCGTTATTGTCTAGCCTTTAAAACTGAGGTTGGTTATTTTAAAATAACGTGTATTTATTCTTTCAACAAAGGATCCTCAGCAATCAAGAACAACATACTCTGATTTCAAGTTTAGAATAGAGCAAATGTGGCAGATCATTACTGGATGAAATCTTTGAAGAACTATTAAAAGCTTACTCAGGGGCATGATAACCAAAAGTTCCTAGCACGCGAGTGGAGTGAAGACGTGCTGCATTATCAGGAGCTTGATTGGACAAATCAAAGTCCGCAATCTTAGCAACATCATCATCAAATATTAGTACATTGCTCGATTTGATGTCGCGATGAATGATGTGGGGATCAGCTTTTTCGTGCAAATACTCAAGCCCTTTTGCAGCACCCACGGCAATTTTCACACGTTGCACCCACGACAAAACTGGACCAGGCTGTGCCCCTTTAACACCTTTCCTTCCTGCATTAGCAAAATAATCAGGTCAAATACCGTAGAGTAACAGCTAATACAACAGCCCTCAAGTAGTCTATTCTCACTCAATGAAAGAAACTGCTTTCGCTAGAATTAAGATTAGACAATAAAAAGCAACTTAGTTGATTTCCTTGCAAACAAAAATGCATCAATAAAGACTGCGCGGCTAGATGGAAACATTAAACTCAATTGTACCCTTAAGGTTTCACTTTTATCTTTCTCTTACATACCGTGCAGAATATCATGAAGAGATCCATTAGATGCAAACTCATAGGCAAGAACACGTGAAACCCCATCAACGCAGTAACCAAGTAGTTGAACAAAATGGTCGTGTTTCAGCCTTGACACCATAGAAACCTGTATCCGTCATTCGTCGATTTAGAAATGAATTTTAACTTGTTTCAAAAACACGGCAATAACAAAGATAAAAACAGGTTCTCTTGTCTAACCTGCGCCAGAAATTCCTCATCAGGTTGTTTGCTGGCATCCAACTTCTTGATTGCTGCAGGCTGCCCACTTTTAAGCAACCCGTAGTATACTCTTCCATATGAACCCTCTCCGATCAAAGCACTGGTCCCAAAGCCTTCTGTAATCTCCTTTAGTTCATCTATTGGTATCGTAGGAACTTCGATGGGCTGGACCCTTACGGGTTGAGATCCTCTGGGTGCAGTTCCTGAAGCATGATGACTTCCCTCATTTCCTGCGACGAGATTCAACTCAGTACGAAATTGATAAAATTGGCGACGGAAACAAACAGATACAAGCGGAAATGAAGTAAAATTTACAAACTTTCCGAAAAACGGAACTCTAAGAAATAATAGTTAGTTGAAATGTATGAGGCTAGATGCAACACAAGGCCTCAGCTATAAGAGAGTGGATTGGATCATTACCTGCCGGATTTTTCACCGTGTATTGACCTCCATGGTCGTTCGCTTTATGCATACCATCGTCTTCGCAACAGCCGAAGCAGCTCATGATTCCTTACCCACACAAAAACAAAACTAAAATTATTAAAAATGTAATTATACAAGTTTCAGTACGTATTATGTAATCAGTAATCAAATTCAGTTCAGCCATCGAACACGGAGATCAAACAAATCGCCACCAAAAACAAAAATTCGTAATTTTTTTAACCAAAAAATAAAATAAAAAAGGTGAAAAATGAGTAGATCGTTATCAGCAGCTGAGAATTCGAGTAAAGAAACGGAAAATGAGAAAGCTTTAAAACAGAGAGATCGTAAGAGAGCGTACCTGAAGGAATGAAAAACTAGAGAAAAATAAAAGGAGACGCCGGTGCTGCTTGCTGTTGTTGTAAACTAATTACAAGAGACTAATCTTGTCTGGGGTGTCTGTCAGTGAGTGTGTGGAGAGAGAGAGAGAGAGAGAGAGATCTGAGAGCTCCAAATCCGGCAGAGGAAGCGCGGCGCAGGCTAAGCTGGAAGGGGTGCGCAGGATAAGAGGACACCAGCGAAAGAGGGAAGGAGGCTGAAGTCTTTGTAATTATTATTACTTCATATTTTAGAATATTTTGTTTTGGTAATCTTAGAATTTAAGAATGTATATTTATTATGTTTAAATTTGGTGTTGGCCAAACTTGACTGGTTACTGTGAATGAGAAAACGTGAATGAGTCCATTGACTCCTTCCTTCCTTGTTTCCTTTCTTCAAATTCGACTTGAATCGCTTGCTTTCGCGTGCAACGACATTACAAGACAACTCTTCTTCCCCGTCAAAGTTAGGTACGTAGATTAATAAATAATTATTCAAACACATCATTCTGGACATTGTATTTATATCTAGTAATGTTAGACAGATAAAAATTACAAATTAAATAATGTGTTACTAATAAAAAATAGTATATATATTGATACTTAAAAATAATTCAATCATCAATTTCTATGTCATTTAATTTACAAAATTTTATTTACAAAATGAATATATGGAGAAAAGTACAACAAAACTTGTTTTCCTCGATGTGCTTTTGATTGTTGCACCTTCAGGTACAATACTTCTCTCGAACAATTGTTTTTTTTTTTTTTTTTTCACCTAACCTCTCTCATCTTTTCTTTACATTTTCTGTTCCAACTCTGCAACTTCTCCTCATACATAATTGTATTAGTATGTGATATTTTCTAGTTAATAATCAAAGAAATATTGATGGTAGCAGTTGGACATCATCCTCATATTTGTGGAGGGACAAGAATTGTCTCTCACTTCCGGTGTCCTCATGTGCCCTCCTGTTTGTATGGTTACAGTTAAGTCACGTCAACATTTTATATTAATATTCATTTTTGTCTTATTATCTTTATGAAAAAAACAATATAAAATGTTGACGTGGCTTAACCGTGATCACATAATATAAGAAGGCATGGAAGGACATCGGAAGTGAGAGGGGCAGACAATCCTTGTCCTTTATGGAGTCCTACTTTCAACATTGAAGCCCCTTTCATTCAAGTTCTAGGTAGGTACTCTACAAATTCTTTGTAATTTCTTAGTCCCCATTCATTTCCTTTTCCTTAAGTTCCGAATGTTTAATTGTAACGCGCGAACTTGCTAATTGCGTCGTAATTTCTAGGTCTTTAACCAAATAGGAACGAGTCGGATTCAAACCTTTACTTTGATTGGTTGGTTTTCATGTAACCTTTTCTATTTCCATACTTGGCCATGCTTTAAGTCTTAATATGTTTTCCTTTTGGGCTCATACATTCAATTGATTATTATTATTTTAATACATGAGCTATTTCAATACATATTGACGGCATATTAGTCATTTTCTCATGTAAATCTAGTACTACATGAGGCGGCATCGTATATTTAACGTTCAGATCAACGGTATGCTAAAACAGAATCGTCAGTCCCAATAAATGCATACATGAAAGTTTTTAACCAGAGTTGAGCCGTATTCTAAATCTTAATTCGTTTTTTACTAGACCAATTCCTTCGATTTTCAGTTGATTAAAACCTTAACATATTTCTTTCTTTGTCGTGTGAGAAAGAATAAAAATGGAAACCAAAAAAAGAAAAGCTCTGAAATAGAAGATCATCTTTCTTTTGCTTTATAGATGCTAGCAGTGGCTTTTGCTTAGTGCTTTTGAAAACACCGTCACTGATGGCATAACCGGCTTAAGCTCACAACGCATGACGATGCATAGTTCATTAGTTTGTCAACGTGTAATCACGTACGCACTGCCAAATTGGCAATACCTCGAGAAAACGGGTGCATATATGCATGACAAAGCAACAAAATAGTAAAGCAATGCAGCTAGCACTTGCAGGCACCTTCCTCAGCTCGACCATATGTCGTTATTCCATAAAACAACTTCTTTTTTTTTTTTTTTTTTTTGTCGATATTCCATTAAACTATTCAACTTCTCTACTTTTCCACCAAATCCCAGTTCACAGATTCCTACCTTTTCACAATTGTCCATGCATGTATAATTGTATGCCTTGTAAGGACAATTTTGCCCTCTTGAACTTCATCTCCTGCTTTCAGAAATATAAAATACCCTTAATTACAAAAGGACATGTTTGGTATTTGAAATCATACCCATCTCTGAAGCATTCTCCTCAGTCAGTATATAAATCTGAAAATTTGATATTACCCTTGAAACTATATTCTCCTCTACTAAAACCCATCCCATTTTGTTTACTTGAATAAAGCCATTGACTAGCCTCTAACTAAACAAATTCTTTAATTAAGTTTGACTTTTCAGATTGTGTATTTTTCGAATGCCTAAACTACCCCTATTAATACTTGGATGGGGTTTTTGGATCAGTTACTTGTTATATCCATTTAATTAATTTTATATATTTGACAAAATAATTCATGCCATTCATTGTATATTCAATATATAACTTTCAAATTGTTATAACGTGCCAATTGAAAAATAATAATACTAATTTCATAATTTTGTGCATTAAATATATTAGTTAATTTACCTACCAACACAACAATAAACGTAAAACAACTTCGGCTAATACTCCAATCCCTAATACACCAAACAAAAGCTATATGTTCCACACAATTTTTACCTACAAAATAGTCTAATTTACCTATTCCATCAAACCAAAATTTAAAGGGTCTAATTTACCTACATGATTTATGTGCATTAGATTAAAAGTTTGTTTAATTGCCTACAAGCACAAACCCACAACCTTCGAACATTATTATCTAATATCACTATTTTTTTTTTTGGAATAGGTAAATTAATTTAAATGTAGGTAAATTAGTATAATATTAATAAGTAGGTAAATTAATTTAAAGGTAGGTAAATTAGTATAATATTTTATAAGTAGGTAAATTAATTTAAATGTAGGTAAATTAGTATAATATTTGTATGTAGGTAATTACATGATTCAAAATGCAAGTAAATTACTATAATATTTTATAAGTAGGTAAATTAATTTGTATGTAGGTAATTACATGATTCAAACAATATTATTTTTTCGGTACAAGATATGTCTTCTTTTTTTTTTTTTTAATTTGGTAAACTAATTTACATATGTTGCTAATATTTATGATACAAGAAAGGAAAAATATCCATATGGATTTAATTGGTCATCATAATTAGGATGAGTAAATTAGGATTTTGTGGCATAAGTTGTAAATGTATTGTAATAGTTGGTCATATATTTGTCTACATGGTAGGTTATTTGAAATTTGGGTTTTATTTGAATGTTAAATTTAGGTGGATTTTTATTTGGAAAATAGGAATTTTAAGGGGCTATATCTAAAGAACCCTATATAAATTCCTGTGTATTCCTCATACTTGGCCATCAACTGAGCTTGCTATCACTCTTTCTCGGCAGCGACCGGCCATCGACTGACCTAATTGAGAGTAAGAGAGAAAATGGAGGTGACAAAGAGGCCTGTGGGAATGGTCGCAATGGGCTTAGCTCTTCTTCTTTGCTTTGCTGCTGCACAGGTGCGCTCAAAGTCATTATACACGTTTATACTGTACTTGTAATATCTGCTCTTCTCTGTCCCAATCAGTGCATGCATCCACAACCCACATTATCGCCTTGTTGCAGCGTTGCATATACATGAAGTGGAATTGCATTAAAATGTGGTGACACTAGCCTTTTTAGGTAAAACTAGCTTTGCTACAAGAGCTAGAAAAGTTGATTTTAGCCCAAATTTCCCAACATATTTTAGGGAAATGGGGCAGTTAAATATTTTTACCTTCTCTTTTCTCTATCGTTTTTACAAAACTTTAATCTTGGTTTTTTTTTTTTTTTTTTTTTGACCTGATCAGGTAATGTTCATGGCTTTGCTCGTTTAATGATACATCTTACTCTTTAACTAGACATTCTTTGAGCCGGAAAAGGACCACATCTTATCCATAAAAAGAAGGGGATACTAAGTGTTTGGGCCCAAAATATTATGATTGGGCCGAGCAGCAAGATGTGCTCGGCCCAAGGTAATGACACATGCTATGGGCCAAATAATGAAACCCGGACCAGCTGGCAGGGTCGGCCAGATCCTATCTTAAGTAGTCCAGATGAATGAGGAAAGGTCGAGGAAATCCTGGTGCGACCAGGATTCTCGACCGGCAAGGGATAAAGCTTCAAAAGGAGGAGAATTCAGAATCCCAGTAGGACTAGGATTGTTCGAGTTAAAGGTGAGATGGGACAAGGACTCCCAATCCAAATCAGAATGGGATTCAAGGAGCGAGGTGCTATAAATACAAGAAATTACGCAATAGAAAGGACCCTTCACAATTAGCACACAATTGCCCTGCGCAAAACCTCTCAAACATCTTGAGATTTTTTCCTTTTCCTTTCCTGCTAACACATCTTCAGTTTGGATAAACAGCACTGTGGAGGCACCCGGCGAGCAGCTTCAGTTTGGATAAACAGCATTGCTGCCGCAGAATCAGCCGACCGAGGAGCACCTTCAGTTTGGATAAACAGCACTGAGTCGAGGTCGACCGATTATCTATCCAAGTCTCGGCCGAGAAGGGTTTTCGAACTCTTGTTGGTAGAGGTCATCCTACTAAGCCTTTCCGGCATAGTTGGGTGTTACGAATTGCATTGCTCGGCGCATTGGACGCCGAGTGGTTTTATGATTGGATACTCGCAAGTAAGCTTCAGGGTTCGGCATTCTGACGGCCGAACTACGTTTACCATTAAGACATACATCACATTCGAGTACTTGTGCCCATATAGTTTGGTCTCGATTCGGCGTGCTTATACTCTTACGAATATAATCACAGTGACCGAATCAGGGTCCGACGACTTGTGAACTCCGTAGAATTAGTAGCCTTGTCTTCAGGCTATAGAACCCAGAGGCCGAGAGCGTTCCTTCCTCGGTCACAATCGCAAGATACAGAAGTCAACAGCGCACCCAACACGACATCATATTTTACTCCTCGGCCGAGCTCGGCCGACGAGTTGGCACGCCCCGCATTCAACCGAAGGACGTAGTTAGCTCATTAGTTACTCGGTCTGCGCGCCACGTAGGTTTTGTAATTTTTGTAGTCAACATTTTGGCACGCCCAGTGGGACCATTGTGCTAAACCTTCGGAGTTCATGACCGTTGAGACATGGTCTACCAAGAAGAGAACAACCATGGGAAAGTCAACAGCTGACTTACCAGTGCAAGGCCTTGGGCAGGATTCACACCCAGCAAAAAATCCGATCATTGCTATGCCACCCGAGGCTACAAGTGTGACACGCCGAGAAAATGAGATCTGTCTCGGCGAGCAACCTCACAACGCGGCGATCCCGAATCAAACGACGCCCATGTTTGTGGAGGGGATAGTGGAAGATTGCGACGACGATGGTGGAGAAGGCTCTGATCCACCAACTAGGTCGTTTCTTCGGAGACGACTTGATGAGCAGTATCGTCAGGTCGAGCAGTCAATTGGTCAAAAGATGAATGATTTACTAGAAGCAATACGAAGTAACAACGATACACAGACCAGAATGCTTGAAATATTAGTTAGTAAAGCCTTCAAAGATGGCCAGGTCGGCCAACCTTGGCAGCTCTCGACGAACGTGCCCATACCAGCCGAGAGAGGGTCCGCTCGACCGCAACCAGTCACCTTGGAAAGAAGAGGACCAGGAAATAGATCTGAGGGACCAAGCCAGGGAGAAGAAGCCGCTTCCGTGAACATGACCAAGGTCCAGAGAATGATTGATTCAGCCCTGAAGAAAGGGCTGAAGTTTCCAAAATTCATTCATCCATACTCGGCTTACGTAGAAAGGTTTGAATACCCACGAGGATTTAAGATCCCTGATTTCAGCCTCTTCGCCGGGGAATCGTCTTTGTCCTCATTAAAACATGTAGCTCGTTTCACAGCGCAGTGTGGGGACGTCAATAGCGACTTCTACAAACTACATTTGTTTAATTTTTCATTGACAGGCTCCGCTTTCGCCTAGTACATTAATCTTCCACCCAATTCTGTGCAGAGTTGGGAGGAGTTGGTCGAAAAGTTCCATGAACAATTATATCGGCCAGGGATGGAGATGTCCGTATCATCTTTGGCCAGGATGGCTCAAGCATCCGACGAATCTCCAATGGAGTACTTAACAAGGTTCAAGTCGGCCAGGAATTGGTGCCGAGTACCACTCCCCGAAGTGGAATTTGTCAGGATTGCTCTCAACGGATTAGACGTGGAGTACAAAAAGAAGTTCTTGGGGGCAAACATTCGCGATATGTACGAACTTGCTCAACACGTCGAACAGTATGATTATCTGCTCCGAGAAGAAAAGATATCAAAGTCACCTTCACGGGGAACGTTGTATAAGAACCCCACGGTTAGCTATGCCTCGGCTGAAAGCGGGGACCATCAGTATGTTAGTGTGGATGCGGCCGAGATAGTAATAGACAAGCCATACGTCTGCAAGGCTCTGGCTCAAGTAAATGGCAAAGACACCAAAGCCCATTCGGCCGCCGAGGAAATGAATAAGTCTTCGAAAGTCTATACCTTCGACATTACCAAGGCCGATGCAATTTTTGATCAATTGTTGGCAGCAAAGATCATCAAGCTTCGGCCAGGACATATTATACCTAAGGTCGATGAATTGAAGGGAAAGGTATACTGCAAGTATCATAACTCTAATAAGCATGCGACCAATAATTGTGTCGTATTCCGGGATACAATCCAAAGTTGGATCGAGAAAGGAAAGTTGAAATTTCCAGAAAAGCAGATGGCGGTCGACGTCAATCCCTTCCCGTCAACAACAATTGGTATGGTGGATGCTCATCTTCCAAAAAACAAAGGGAAGGCCGAATACGTCCCGGTGCAGCATATCCGTCAACGGAATGGTCGAACAAGGCTAAAGCTCGATATCTTTTCGAATGCACCACCCACGGAACAATCGGGACCACCCGCCTGCGAGCCTACAATGAGGTCAAATACCGACGATTCTCATGGATCAAAGATTTTATGTGACCATTGTAAAACACCAGTTGAGCCTGGGAAGAAAACATCTTCAACACCACCCAAGGCCCTTACCGTGCCAGTGACATCATCAAAGGAACTTGGGTCGCGACGTCAAGTGTTTGATCGACTCGGCCCACAAGTTCGGCCGAGAGACCAGGCCTCGGTCAGGCGGCGCCTTAACTTCGACGCGCCTTTCTATAATGAGGATTATTACTCGCGCAATACCAACAGTTCCAGCTCATCAGCCGATCGCAAAACTTTCAAACTGCCCAGGACATCGGATCAACGCTGGTACAGTTACAACTCCCCAACAGGTTTATATACGGCGTTATCTAAATCCCAAAAACGTCGCCGTCAACGGATCGATTGCATGGCTCGGCGACGAGAAGCGCAGGCCAGTCCCGCCAACCAGTGGCAACCAAAGAAGGCCATGGAAAGCGTAAGTGAACGGCCAACCCCGACTATCATGACCGAGTTAGCCGAAGGGAAGAAAGTAGCAGCTGCCGGTTTCGAGACCACCATTGAGGATGCTGAGAAACGTATCAAAATCCTTCTCCGTCCTGGGGAAACTAGAGCTCGGCTAGAACACTTCACGCAAGAGGCCGAAAGGAAACTTTCCCCATTACCACCGCGCGAGCCGTTTATCAAAGTACGGCGCAACCTACATCCCCCATTCCTCGGTGAGTCCTTGGAATACATGCGAGAGTTTCATAAGAAATACTCCGCCAATAACTTGTACGGACTACCCAAGGCGTGTCAGGAAGCCCTCGACCTAGCTCTCACTTGCCCCGATGCCGAGCAAATCATTCAGAAAACCTCCGACCCAGCAATTAAGGCAAGGTTCCAACATATACGGGAAGCTCGGGTACTTGGTTTTGAAGTTGATCCTTATACAGATATCGACACCGCCGAATTACCTTTCTCGCTCGATGACCTTCAGCATTTGCGCTATCATTTCGAAGTTTTCTCAGCGGTATCGCTCTTCGGCCTCACGGCCGACGAAGAAAAACGGATAGCACGGTTGGATACATATCTCGACACAAGGAACGCCCGCATTGCCTATGAAGAACGAGCCCGTATAACAAAGGACCAACATAAATCTTCGACAGTCAACATGGTCGAGGAAAATAGCCACACCACACTCGACTTGGTTCCCACGTCTCGGATACCGGCTCTTACCGAGGCACTCAAATGCTTGATCGAGGATGTTCCGCCGGCCGATACTGTGGCTAGTTCGGCAGAAGACGACGACCACGATCCAATGGGTCCTTCGGTCCTCGAACAAATGGAGATCAGTATGGTCCACGTGTTACCAGCTGAATTTCAACCCAGTACCCTCCAATCAAATTTCTTGGACGGAGATGTAGTCGCCGAAGAAGCAACACAAGTCGATTTCGTTGCAAACAACGACGACAGAGAAACCCGAAGCACGGACAATCTTAAGGCGGCTTTGGCCGAGCTATTTCCTCGCTCCCCTTCGGTTAATCTCCAACACCTGAAGCCGTTGTACGTCACGACTCACATCGAAGGATTCC